CCCGGTGGGATGGGGGGGGGGGGGCCGTTACATAAGCTGATGTTTTAATTATCACTAGGATAGGGACCCTAAATAATTCTTCAGATGAATAGTTAAGTTAAAGTTGTACAATTGTCCCATTAACATTGGTTGAAAAATGTAAGAGATATAGACTAAATAAAATAAAATGTAAGAGCTATGGCGTATAAAAGGGAGAATGTAAGAGATATAGGGTATATAATGGAGAATGTAAGAGATTTAGCCTATATGAGGTAAATGCAAGAGCTATATCGTATAAAAAGGAGAATGTAAGAGATATAGGGTATATAATGGAGAATGTAAGAGATTTATCCTATATGAGGTAAAATGTAAGAGCTATATCGTATAAAAAGGAGAATGTAAGAGATATAGGGCGTATAATGGAGAATGTGAGAGATATAGCGTATGAAAGGAGAATGTAATACAAATAGCGTATATAAAGGTGAATGTAAGAGATAATAGTGTATATAAGGAACATGTAAGAGATAAAGCGTATATAAGGAAATGTGTGTCCCCTTTTGAAATATGTGCCCCCTGTATTAAATGTGTGCCCTCTTGTCAAATCTGTGCCCCCTTGTCAATTGTGTGCCACCTTGTCAAATCTGTGCCCCCTTGTCAATTGTGTGCCACCTTGTCAAATGTGTGCCCCCTTGTCATATGTGTGTCCTCTAGTCAAAAATGTGACCCCTTGTCAAATGTGTACCCTTTCGTAAAAAATGTGCCCTTTTGTGAAATATGTGTCTTTTTGTCAAATGTGTGCCCCCTTGTCAAATCTGTGCCCCCTTGTCAAACGCAGGCCCCGTTATAACATCTGTACCCTATTCCGAATAGTTGTGCCCCCCTCCCCCTGTCCACTGTCAGATGGCAAAGTTGTTGGGATGAGCCTGGTGTGACCCCTCCGTGTATTCCCTTTGTTAAGCCATAATTTACGTCTTACCCGAGGACAGCAACAACCGACAACAGCGGGCGGCGCAAGTGTAATGTTGACCCCCCCCCTCACTTCAACCCCTGCCCCCCCTCACTTCAACCCCTGCCCCCCTCACTTCAACCCCTGCCCCCCCTCACTTCAACCCCTGCCCCCCTCACTTCAACCCCTGCCCCCCCTCACTTCAACCCCTGCCCCCCTCACTTCAACCCCTGCCCCCCCTCACTTCAACCCCTGCCCCCCTCACTTCAACCCCTGCCCCCCCTCACTTCAACCCCTGCCCCCCTCACTTCAACCCCTGCCCCCCCTCACTTCAACCCCTGCCCCCCTCACTTCAACCCCTGCCCCCCCTCACTTCAACCCCTGCCCCCCTCACTTCAACCCCTGCCCCCCCTCACTTCAACCCCTGCCCCCCTCACTTCAACCCCTGCCCCCCCTCACTTCAACCCCTGCCCCCCTCACTTCAACCCCTGCCCCCCCTCACTTCAACCCCTGCCCCCCTCACTTCAACCCCTGCCCCCCCTCACTTCAACCCCTGCCCCCCCCCTCCAAATGAAACAGCGTAGGTAGTTGCATGATGTGCCCCCCCCACTACACCCCAACCCCCACTTTTAATGCAATAAACCCATTCCGAAATAAAAAACATATAAACATGAAATGTTCAAGTCGCACCGAAGATGTCTCCTCCCCTAGGTTATAAATTAAAGCCAACTATCCTTTTTTTTTTTTTTTTTAGCCTCTCCTAATCTTAACAGCACACCAGATTGTGGAAGAAGATATCATGTTGTACATTGCACTTAAAGTTGTGTAGAACAACAACAGCTTCGTCCGCTTTAATTTGTTTGTGCCCCCCCCCCCTCCCCCTTCCTCCCACGATATTGTAAACATAATATGTATTAACGTGAACAAGAGCAGCGCAATCTGGGTCGATATTCACCCGTGAAGTTGACGGGGGTGAGGGGTGGATTATTTCGCGTTAAAAATTAAATTAAATTAAAACAAGGTTTAAGCGCAGCACAGGCGATGTTTACAACACAAAAAAAATGGAATCCAATAATAATAATAAGGAAACCATTAAAGGGAAAATTGTGGTACAGTAAATGAGACTAGCCCAGACAAGGGACAGGTGAGACAAAGTAAATGAGACTAGCCCAGACAAGGGACAGGTGAGACACAGTAAATGAGACTAACCCAGACAAGGGACAGTTGAGACACAGTAAATGAGACTAGCCCAGACAGGGGACAGGTGAGACACAGTAAATGAGACTAGCCCAGACAAGGGACAGGTGAGACACAGTAAATGAGACTAGCCCAGACAAGGGACAGGTATGGTACAGTAAATGAGACTAGCCCAGACAAGGGACAGTTGTGGTACAGTAAATGAGACTAGCCCAGACAAGGGACAGGTGTGGCACAGTAAATGAGACTAACCCAGACAAGGGACAGCTGTGGCACAGTAAATGAGACTAACCCAGACAAGGGACAGGTGTGGTACAATAAATGAGACTAGCTCAGACAAGGGACAGGTGAGACACAGTAAATGAGACTAGCCCAGACAAGGGACAGGTGAGACACAGTAAATGAGACTAGCCCAGACAAGGGACAGTTGTGGTACATTAAATGAGACTAGCCCAGACAAGGGACAGGTGTGGTACAGTAAATGAGACTAGCCCAGACAAGGGACAGTTGTGGTACAGTAAATGAGACTAACCCAGACAAGGGACAGGTGTGGAACAGTAAATGAGACTAACCCAGACAAGGGACAGTTGTGGTACAGTGAATGAGACTAACCCAGACAAGGGACTGGTGTGTGCACAGTAAATGAGACTAACCCAGACGCGGGACAGGTGTGGTACAATAAATGAGACTAGCCCAGACAAGGGACGGGTGTGGCACAGTAAATGAGACTAACCAAGACAAGGGACAGTTGTGGTACATTAAATGAGACTAGTCCAGACAAGGGACAGGTGTGGCACAAATAATGACGTGACAGCTTACATTTTGACCCCGGGGGTGGGGGTGGGGGTGAGTCTGTATGTTAGTTCCACAAGAAACTCCCCAGCTACAATTCACTCCGAATTAATTCCTTTTTAAATATCTCGGTACTCTGTGTTAAAAGTAGAATGAAGGCAATCAAAGTCTGTGCAGAAAACATTTTTTTTTCTAAAGTTAATAAAAAAACCACACAATTAAGCTTCGCCTGCATTCAATTCTCATCCTTCGGCTTCATGGAGTCCTTGTCCGCTCGTCTGCTTGTCTGCATGTCTGCTTGTCTGCATGTCTGCTTGTCTGCATGCCTGCATGTCTGCACTGCACAATCTTTCTTTGCGTAATTCATTTTAAGAAATGTTAAATTGTGTTTTTAATTTTTAGTGCGTTTCAACTCGTGTTTGATGGAATGTTCATTATTTTTATTTTTTTCTATTTTTTTTTTTGTGCTTCTTTTTTTTTTAGTTTTACAAATATTTTTTTTTGTAGTGTCTCATTTTGCTCCTGCGTGTCGTGCTGTTGATTCTGACACCATCTCAAAGCTACAACATAAAGATTTCAAAAGAGGGCGACAGATGAAGGGTTTGTGAATCCCTGATTGCGTCAATTCAAAAAAAAATAATTAAAAAGTGGGGGGAGGGGGGTTGGATGGTCCCTGGTGATCATTCTTTATTACAACAGGTGATTCTATGATCCTGCAATGACATTTTCTCGTTTAATTAGAGATGTTGATTGCTTGCGAGCTGCTGCCGAACTGAGCCGTCACAGTTTGAAGGAGCGCTGTCGCAGTGATCAGATCTATTCGGATGTTGGCGGGTGAGGGACAAGTGATTTAAACGGCCAACGGGTCGCCTCCGAGAAAGTCGACAAGCCGTGTGAGGAGATCACATCGCCAGCCAGGTGTGTGTGTGTGTGTGGTGAGGAGATCGAATTGCCGGCAAGGTGTACGTGAAGAGGTCAAAGGCGCCGGTTAGACGCCGTCGGATGAACGCCGGTCATGAACGACGGTGAAGGATTCGAGCTGGGAGATCTTGGCGGCGACCAGCACAAGACCGGAGACACAACTCGCGGAGACGACAGCCCTCTTGGGGGAAAGGGAGATAAGGAGGGCGGCCATTTTGGAAACTGCTGGGAAGTGACGAGAGTCAAGTGCAAGGGTGACAATGAGAAAAGTAAGTTGACAGTTTGAAATATTTATCCAAGAGTAAATTTATTGACCTTTTTTTTTCAAAATTTATTGATTTTAAAATATGTGAGCGAAGATTTTTTTATTATTTTTTTTTTGAGATGTCAAAACTAGGCATGAGTTTGGAGTCATTGCCCTTGTATTCCAGTAACTTGATCTAATTTAATTCTCTCTTGTTGCACATATAGCTCGCAGATATAATTAGCAGTTAAGAAGAAATTAACTTTGCTGAATTAATTGGAATGCATTATCTTTTTACTGAAGAGATGCTGAGGGCTGTCGCAGTAAGATGGGGGTAGGTAGGTGAGCCGTCTTTCCATTGGTTCAATTTCCCGGCCACGCTTGTACAACGAGCCAATGGTTTTCACGGACACAAAAATTCACGAGATGGTCGTATTTTGCGTTCATGTGCAACTCACCTTTGTAGACACACAGGCGCTTGTGTCAAGAATTTACAGATGATCGTCTCTTGCCAATCTCGACTAATCGTAGAGCAATGCGTGGCTTGCTTTTTTTGTTGTTGTTGTTTTGTTTTTGTTTCTTAAAACTTCACCGAAATAAAAATGATTAATTTGTGAACCACTGCTATAACAAATGACTCTGTGAATCAGCCAGGGACGTGCTGGCACATGACGAACGGTGTAGTAAGAAAGGCCCGGAGGCGCACCACCCCCCCCCCCCCCCCCCCCCGAAATAAAAATGATTAATTTGTGAACCCCTGCTATAACAAATGGCTCTGTGAATCAGCCAGGGACGGGCTGGCACAGGACGAACGGTGTAGTAAGAAAGGCCCGGAGGCGCACCACCCCCCCCCCCCGCACACCGGAGATTGTACTAACTGCCCCAAAAAGGCCCATGACGAATGCTCGTGGCGCCCTCGTCGTGGTCCAGCACGTCCCTGGAATCAGCCTCTCCTGCGGTTCGGTGTTCGGGGTGTTCATTCACTGCAACTCGAAGTTTAATTTCCGAAGTTTGACAGTAATCTGATTCATGAGAACGTCTTAAGGCCATTCATTTCCCAACCATCCCCCCCCATGAGAACGTCTTAAGGCCATTCATTTCCCAACCATCCCCCCCATGAGAACGTCTTAAGGCCATTCATTTCCCAACCATCCCCCCCATGAGAACGTCTTAAGGCCATTCATTTCCCAACCATCCCCCCCATGAGAACGTCTTAAGGCCATTCATTTCCCAACCATCCCCCCCATGAGAACGTCTTAAGGCCATTCATTTCCCAACCATCCCCCCCATGAGAACGTCTTAAGGCCANTGAGAACGCCTTAAGGCCATTCCTTTCCCAACCACCCCCCCCCCCAATCCCCCCTCCCCCATTAAAAAAAAAAAAAAGCAACGAACACAAATATTGATGTGTTGTTTTTTTTTCAGCCAAACGTATGAAAATAATACTAAATAATAATTTTATTTAACCTTAAATCCAGGATTGGGAATCTTCAGAACCACACAAACTGAGGGAGGGACGATATTGGTTTTAATAATAATTATTTAAAATGAAATATCCATAAAAAAAAAAGATTTGCAAGAGAAAATGATCTTAAGGTAATACATGGCGCTGGCCCCTTGATAAATACCGTGGGCGGCTTAAATATCCGCCAGCCCCTCCACCCCCACCCCCGGGTGAACCCCCAGTTGGGGTGACGCTGATGACGCGTATCGACGTTCCAATAGGTCTCATCGTAAAAGGTGTCCGCCCTCACGTTCAGGTGCCCGTCAGTCATTTGTGTATTGGAGATCTGTCACATTAACATCCTAATGACCAGGGCAGAGCAAAGTGAGAGAAAGTGGGCAGGGAGGGAGATTGCACTTGTCCGGTGCGCCAACATTAATGGAGGGGGGGGGCGCCAACATTAATGGGGGGGGCGCCAAAATCGACTTTGGATAGGACCTAAGTTCTGAACTAAACGATATAATCCAACGTACTTCGCAAAGACAGGGTAGAAATGAGAAGCGAACCGAACACATCAAACTCGAACCATGAAAAGGACCAAACCGAACACGAACTTTAAAGTCACGAGAATGCAGCGAACCTAACAAAAGTATGAGAACCTAACAAACTTATGAGAACCTAACAAAGTTATGACAACCTAACAAACTTATGAAAACCTAACAAACTTATGAAAACCTAACAAACTTATGACAACCTAGCAAACTTATGAGAACCTAACAAACTTATGAGAACCTAACAAACTTAGGAGAACCTAGCAAACTTATGAAAACCTAACAAACTTATGAAAACCTAACGAACTTATGAGAACCTAGCAAACTTATGAGAACCTAACAAACTTATGAGAACCTAACAAACTTAGGAGAACCTAACAAACTTATGAAAACCTAACAAACTTATGAGAACCTAACAAACTTAGGAGAACCTAACACTCTTATGAAAACCTAACAAACTTATGAGAACCTAACAAACTTATGAAACCTAAAAAACTTAGAAGAACCTAGCAAACTTATGAGAACCTAAAAAACTTAAGAGAACCTGACAAACTTATTAAAACCTAACAAACTTATGAGAACCTAACAAACTTGTGAGTACCTAACAAACTTATGAGTACCCAACAAACTTATGAGAACATAACAAACTTAGGAGAACCTAACACTCTTATGAAAACCTAACAAACTTATGAGAACCTAACAAACTTATGAAACCTAAAAAACTTAGAAGAACCTAGCAAACTTATGAGAACCTAAAAAACTTATGAGAACCTGACAAACTTATTAAAACCTAACAAACTTATGAGAACCTAACAAACTTATGAGAACCTAACAAACTTAGGAGAACTTAGCAAACTTAGGAGAACCTAACAATCTTAGGAGAACCTAAAAAACTTAGGAGAACCTGACAAACTTAGGAGAACCTAACAAACTTAGGAGAACCTAGCAAACTTATGAGAACCTAAAAAACTTGGGAGAACCTGACAAACTTATTTAAACCTAACAAACTTATGAGAACCTAACAAACTTGTGAGTACTTAACAAACTTATGAGTACCTAACAAACTTATGAGAACATTACAAACTTAGGAGAACCTAACAAACTTATGAGAACCTAACAAACTTATGAGAACCTAACAAACTTAGGAGAACCTAACAAATTTATGAGATCCTAACAAACTTATGAGAACCTAACAAACTTAGGAGAACCTAACAAACTTAGGAGAGCCTAACAAACTTAGAAGAACCTAACAAACTTATGAGAACCTAACAAACTTATGAGAACCTAACAAACTTAGGAAGACCTAAAATGTTTTACATGAAGGTAGGATCCTACTTGCGCCAGAAGTGTTGATATTTTAAATAAAACATGAAAATGATTTTTTGTATTTTAAAATTGTCATCCCTTAATCCCGTGTATCCTAACAGCATCACTGATAGTGACCAATGGTCACCTGACCCCTGAAGAGACACAACGGCTCCTGACCGCAGCACTGGTCATCTCCTGGACATCAATTATTTTCTCACTAGGAACTGGTCTTGCAGCTGTGGGTAAGAGTGTGGAGCTTTGGTGAAAGAATTGTCTTTTGGTTAAAATATGGGATTTGGTGAAAGAATTGTCTTTTGGTTAAAATATAGGATTTGGTGAAAGAATTGTCTTTTGGTTAAAATATGGGATTTGGTGAAAGAATTGTCTTTTGGTTAAAGTATTGGATTTGGTGAAAGAATTGTCTTTCGGTTAAAATAATGGATTTGGTGAGAGAATTCGCTTTAAGGGTAAATGTGTGATTCTTTGAAAACTTTGCTTTTAGTTTGAATATTCATGTCCTTTGGAAAATAAAGTTCTAGTCTAATTAATGTTAGACTCAAAGATAAAAAAAACATTGAAGCTACACGCAACAGTGCAAGAAATTTAAACAACTGATTAAAACAGTTTATTTCAATAGGTGTAGTCTAATGGGCAAGAACTTCAATCCTCGCCAATAGATTGGGGGGGGGGAGGGGCACTGGGCAAGATCAATCTCCAGATTCCTGTATTTTGTATTATGGGAAATCATCCAGGTTGTCGGTGAGCTCTGTATGTGAATGTTGAAAGAGCTCAGTGGGGGTGTATTGCATATCTGTATTTTGGAACGAATAATCCTTACAAAACAATGCTGACTGAGTTTTCTTACCCTGACAAAAGTACAGCTTGGTTCTAATGCTCCCAACCTACTTCGACTAACAATTATTCAGCAATTCTTGCTCGGTACACATATATATTTATTGTGTTTTATTGTAACTGCAGCAGCTGCCTTTCCGTGCTGGTAAGAAAAATTGCCGTTTTTTTTATTTTGTAGGTTTGTGTGTGTGTGTGTGTGGGGGGGGGGTTAAGAATAAGAAATTACAAGGGAATAATCAATAGTGCGTGTAGGGCGCATTGAAAAGACCTGTAATAATATAGGTCAACAATTTCCTCATGCGTGTGTGTGGTACATATTTATTCTGCTCGCTTTTTATTTCGCGATGTGGCGGTAATTAGTTGCCGTGGATTGAAGTTACTGGGAGGGATAACTGTGTCTCTTTGTCACATAAGCATGTGAGATTAATGGCCCCCACCCACCGTTTTTTTTTTAATTATTATTTATTCAGAATGGTTCCATGGAGCATAATTAATTGTATGTTCCAATTTGAAAAATGGTTCCGTAGACCACAATTGTATGTCCTAATTTACGGAATGGTTCCGTAAAGTATAATTGTAAGTCCTAATTTACAGAAAGGTTCCGTATAGTATAATTGTATGTCCTAAATTATTGACTATTACTGTGTTTTATTATTGTATCGTTTAATCTATATGTCTAATGTCGGTTGATATTTTTTGTGATGCACTTTTAGGGGGTTTGAGGCAATGGGGAGAGGGCTACAGATTGAAATATTGAATTGGAGTGAGTAAGTGTATAATCCATTCAATATATATGTACGGAATTATATTTAAGTTATGACCTCAGTGTTGTTCGAAGTTGTGTCATAGATTGTATATAAGTGTTTCACGTTGTCATATATTGTATATAAGTGTTTCACGTTGTCATATATTGTATATAAGTGTTTGAAATTATGCCATATATTGTATATAAGTGTTTGACGTTATGTCATATATTGTATATAAGTGTCTGAAATTATGCCATATATTGTATATAAGTGTTTGAAATTATGCCATATATTGTATATAAGCGTTTGAAATTATGCCATATATTGTATATAAGTATTTGAGATTATGTCATATATTATGGTATATAAGTGCTTGACGTTATGTCATATATGGTACCAAAGAGTTTGAAATTAGGGGCCGTCCATAAAGTACGTCACGCAATTTTGACCATTTTTACCCCCCCCCCCAACTGTCACAAATCTTGGACCCCCCCCCCCAAGTACGTCACACTTTCGAACACATTTTTTTTCAATTAACACCCCTTTAAAATTTAATCTAAAACACACTTCACTATTAAACTGTATTAAAATATAAAATTTCCACTTAAAAGAACTATCACATTATTAAAATGACATCAATATTAGAATAGTTAATTGTCAACAGTTGTCACAGTTATTCATTGAAACAATAACTCAATCTAGATTGAATTTGAAAACAAAAATTGCCAAAATTAGACTAGAAAATTATATAATACACATCATTTCTCTTCTGCTTTTTCATTTACAAAAGGTGAGGTCAAGTTTTAGATAATCTTCCGATTATGCAATCTTTTAACACTGGATAAGAAGTAAATTAGCGAAACTTGACCTCACCCAGTGATTAAATAATAAAAAGGAAACAAAACAATTTGGACTAAAAAAAGACTAGATTGACAAATTATGTGACCAAACTCTTGTGCTATATTGAATATGTTTATTATGGGCCTTTTTTTTAATGTTTAATTCAAAAATATTCACTGGACATCATCCATCCATGGTGAGGTGAAGTGTCATCCATAGTTACGACTGGCATCAATCTTTCACCATCATCGTTTCCTGGAAGGATAATTGCAGACAGATTAACTTCATCCTCATCTAGCCACTCAACATCCTCTGGGTGTGCATCTTCTCTTCTGGCAATAACTCCCATGAGTTCTCTTTGCCTTCTAGCAGTGATTCTCAAAGGACTGATGCGTTTTATCTGAGTTGATTCTGGAACAGTTTGGGTTGGCACATTCTCCCGAGCCCGAGATCTGTGTTGTCCTGCATGTTTCTTCAGCATTTTTTGTGAGGCAGAGTATAAGTGATATACTTTGCAAATTCGATCAAGTAAGCTGGTCAGCAAAGATGGACAATAAAGATCATATAATTGTACTTTGAAAACTCCTGTTGATCTCGGCAAGACTATACATAAAACAAGGCTTTGCAACAGCATACTAGAGCTCCTAGCGAGAGGAATCGTGAACAACACGTTCAGGAGATACGCATTTCATGCTATTTTGACATAAAAGTAGTTCAAATGTTTCACAAAATTTTTGAAAATTATTTTTAAAGCTATTAAATTCTACTGAAAAATAAAATTGAAAAAAATAGAAATAAAATTGTAAAAATCAATGTGTGAGTCACACATGGCCTGATTCCCCTCCCCCCTGTCACAAACTGTCACACTTTCTTACGCACCCCCCCCCCCTGGAGCGTGACGTACTTTATGGGTGGCCCCTTATGTCATATGTTTTTATATAAAGAAAAATAAAATTGAAAAAAATAGAAATAAAATTGTAAAAATCAATGTGTGAGTCACACATGGCCTGATTCCCCCCCCCCCTGTCACAAACTGTCACACTTTCTTACGCACCCCCCCCCCCTGGAGCGTGACGTACTTTATGGGTGGCCCCTTATGTCATATATTTTTATATAAGTGTTAAAAGTTATGTCATAAATAGGTAGATAAGTGCTTGACGCTATGATTCCAATGGCCATACAGCCAAGAAAAGATACGTCAAGCTCACTCCATTCAACTGTTTCAAACGTTGTTTCTTCTTTTTGTTCCATCCCCAGTGCTCAGCCTCGTCGGAAGGAGCGAATCACTGTTCGCGTTTGGGGTAATTCAGCATTTTCACGATGAACTTTTGTTTAACATTGGTGACCAGTTTCTTTCATGTATTTATCAATACGATCCACTGGACATGTTGGGAGCAAATATCTTACCACTTGACACCCTTTTACCCTAAGCACATTTAAAAAAAAAAAAAATATTTAAAACACGTTTTCCTCAAGATTCGTTGACCCAGTTAGTCACTGACCCAGTTAGTCCCTGACCCAGTTAGTCGCTGACCCAATTAGTCACTGAACCAGTTAGTCGCTGACCCAATTACAAAATTAATGTCGAATTCCGGGTAAAAAGGCTTGACCTAATTTATAAAATTGAGCCCCCCAACCCATTTTTTTGGTAACAGGACATGCATTTGTTTGACATTTCTCCTTGTGGTATGACATTTCAGCTGGATGCTCTGCTGGACAGCCTGTCATCCGTCGCGGTCGTCTGGAGATTCCAGGGTCAAGTGGACTGCGTGTACTCTCTGATCAGAGAGAGAAAGTAGGTCCAAATTATGAGAGATTTTAATATGCCCAACACACCCCCAAAACCCGCCATTGGAGCTCCCCCCCCCCGGGCTCTCGGAGCGACATATCCCGCCCTCGGAGCTAGACGCCCTGCCCTCGGATCTCCACGCAGCCATCAATTTCAAATTTAGAAGCAAATGTATCTTTATTAATTAACTATGTTGTTTTTTTTTCCCCTTTAAGACACACCCACAGCCGAAAGGTTTCCTCGTAGAGAAATGTTTTTCCCGGCTTGTAATGGACGGTCGTAGGCTTGTAATGGACGGTCGTGGGCTTCTAATGGACGGTCGTGGGCTTGTAATGGGTGGTCATGGGCTTCTAATGGACGGTCGTGGGCTTGTAATGGACTGTCACGGGCTTGTAATGGGTGGTCATTGGCTTCTAATGGACGGTCATGGGGTTCTAATGGACGGTCATGGGTTCTAATGGACGGTCTTGGGCTTCTAAGGGACGGTCATGGGTTTGTAATGGACGGTCGTGGGCTTGTAATGGACGGTCACGGGCTTGTAATAGGTGGTCATGGGCTTCTAATGGACGGTCGTGGGCTTGTAATGGGTGGTCATGGGGTTCTAATGGACGGTCCTGGGATTCTAATGGACGGTCATGGGCTTCTATTGGAAGGTCGTGGGTTTGTAATGGACGGTCGTGGCCTTGTAATCGATGATCGGGTAAAAACAAAAACACAAGTTTTCTACATCAACTAATCCATTACATTTCCTCGTTATATTTTTGTGTCAGAATAATCACAAAGCACACGTCTATTGATAGGAGACGTATATCGCATATCCATCAGCCAATCTGCCTACCGTGTTGCACACACCAGGTGTCCATCCCCCTCCACCACCACCCCCTGCTCATAGTTCAGCATGCACATCTAACATCTCCACCAAGCCATAGCTTGGTTTCCCCCCCCCCCTTTTTTTTTCGTTGTTTATGTTTAGCGTCTCGCTGACCTGGTCAAGGAAATGGTAAACAATGAAGACTTTCCATGAAATGAATGAGTGCTACACACGGTGTCCACGTAGGTTTTACGCTTTCAAGGTCACGCTCTTCAGAGTCGTAGCATCGGCGCTGCGTTTTATCGGAGTCGCAATATGGGGAGCCGTTGGTATCGCGTCGTGGAGCTGGAGTCGAGCAGTTTTTAAAGCGGTTAAAAAAAATCTTTAACTGTTCTTACTTCAAAATCTGAACTTGTGAAACCACCGGGAGATCTGTTTCTCCTCAACTGCTAGTGGCCATGCCCACGCGTGGCTTACGTCATAGGTCAAGGTTGGAGTCGACGACTCTTTGGTTGTCGAAGTACCAATACCTTTAAGCTCATTCTAAAAGATGGTGTTGTTTGCGGGGAGTTTAGTGACATCTCTAGAAACAATGGGAAACAAACGTAGAATGACGCCCTATGCGTAATCTAATAATGCAGCGGATTAGAGGCCGACCGAAAGTGATTTTCTGATTTCGGCCGAAGCCGAAAATAGGCCGAAAATTTAAAATGACTTTCGGCCGAAACCAAAAAAAAGCCGAAAGTAAAAAAATCACTTTCGGCCGAAGCCGAAAATAGGCCGAAAGTTAAAAATGAATTTTGGCCGAAACCGAAGCCGAAACCGAAGCCGAAACCGAAAATGAAATATTAAGATATTTTGAAATTCGTTCCCGCATACATTCTGCTTACATCGAAAATGATGTGGGAAAGTATAAATATTTACATTCTTTTTATAAAAATGAGATAATCGTAAATATTAATAAATAAACATCTAATTTAGGGGTCTCAAACTCGCGGCCAGCGAGCCATTTGTGACCCGCAAGACGATATTTTGCGGCCCGCTACATGACAGAAAAGTTTAGTGTAAATGCGCCGGCCCGTTTCCCCCATTCTCATATATATAACGTGACTCTCCACGACGGTTTCAGTCGATCTCACCGACTAATCTAATTCTGATTTTTTTTTTTAATGACTCTATATATTTTTGTATGCCAGGTCTCTGGCAACAGTGAGTAGTTCTTGAGATCCCTTAATTATTTCATTGTTATTTATAAAGGTTGAGCAGATTGTAACAGTTGTAATCGCTTTTTTGTGGATTACTTGATGCGGCCCACTCTTATTCAGACACTACCCCCTGCGCCCCCCCCCCCATAATTTGAGTTTGATACCCTTGATCTAATGAATACTTTGGATTTTACCATTTTAATATAAAAGTAATTTAAATTGCTTTACAATTTTTTCAAATTTGTATGGTAGGAGAAAATTTGGCAAAAATTAATGCAAAATATTATTTTTTTAAACCGGGTCTCTAAAAAATATGGTTCTAAAAGATCACTTAATTTGTTTTTAAAGATCGTTTAGTTGGTTGTTATTGATCGGTTAGTTTGTTCTTAAAGATCGGTGAGTTTGTTCATAAAGATCGCTTAGATTTTTCTAAAATATCGCTTAGTTTCATCTTAAAGGTCGCTTAATTTGTTCTTAAAGATCACTTAGTTTGTTGTTAAAGACCGTTTAGTTTGTTCTTAAAGATCGCTTAGTTTGTTGTTAAAGATCGTTTAGTTTGTTGTTAAAGACCGTTTAGTTTGTTCTTAAAGATCGCTTAGTTTGTTGTTAAAGATCGCTTAGTTTGTTGTTAAAGATCGTTTAGTTTGTTGTTAAAGATCGTTTAGTTTGTTCATAAAGATCGCTTAGTTTGTTGTAAATTCGCTTAGTTTTTTTCATAAAGATCGCTTAGTTTGTTCTTAAAATTAATTGATTTTGTTCCTTAAGATCAATTAGTTTTTTCTTAAAGATCTTTCAGTTTGTACCTAACGAACATTTAGTCTTCTGTTAAAGATCGCTTAGTTTATTCTTATGAATCATTAAAGATCATAATTTGTTTTGTTCTTAAAGATCATTTAGTTCGGTCTTAAAAATCGTTTAGTTTTTTATTAAAGATCGCTTAGATTGTTCTTAAAGATCGCATAGTTTGTTTTAAAGATCGTTTAGTTTGTTTTTAAATGTCACTTAGTTTGTTGTTAAATATCATTTAGTTTGTTCTCAAAGATCGCTTAATTTGTTGTTAAATGTCGCATAGTTTGTTGTTAAATATCGCTTTTGCTTAGTATTAAATGACCGAAAACCTGAGTCACTTTCGGCCGGATGGCCGAAAGTCTAAGTCAATTTCGGCCAAAACCGAAGAAAAACCGAAAGTTAACTTTTCTCTTTCGGCCGAAACCGAAATTAAGCTGAAAGTTAACTTTCCAGTTTCGGCCTAAACCGAAAATTGGCCGAAAGTGATAAAATGGCCACTTTTGGCGCCGAAACCGAAGCCGAAGCCAAAATTCGGTCGGCCTCTACAGCGGATCTCAAACTACTTAAACTGCATGCTTTATTTTTTTTAATTAAAAGAGTACAACAACCCTTCCTAGCCCCCTCTCCACAAACACTCACACATAGATATTTACTAAAAAAAAACAAAGAATGATACCCCCACCCCCCACCCCGAATAGTGATTCAATCACCACAACGATTGAGAACCACTCCTTTTTAAAGTCAATAAACTAGAGACCGACCGAATTTCGGCTTCGGTTTCGGCGCCGAAAGTGGCCATTTTATCACTTTCGGCCAAGTTTCGGTCTCGGCCGAAACTGAAAAGTTAACTTTCGGCTTAATTTCGGTTTCGGCCGAAAGAGAAAAGTTAACTTTCGGTTTGTCTTCGGTTTCGGCCGAAATTGACTTAGACTTTCGGCCATCCGGCCGAAAGTGACTCAGGTTTTTGGTCAATTTAATACTCAGCGAAAGCGATATTTAACAACAAACTAAGCGACATTTAAGAACAAATTAAGAGATCTTTGAGAACAAACTAAACGATATTTGACAACAAACTAAGGGACATTTAAGAACAAACTAAACGATATTTGAAACAAACCAAGCGATCTTTAATAACAAACTAAACGATCTAATAGAACAAACTAAACGATTTTTTAGACCGAACTAAATGGTCTTTAAGAACAAAACAAATGATCTTTAATAGTAAAGTAAATGATTGATAAGAATAAACTAAGCGATCTTTAACAGAAAAGTAAATGCTCTTTAGGGACAAACTAAAAGATCTTTAAGAACAAACTAATCGATCTTTATGAACAAACTAAACGATCTTTAACAACAAACTAAGCGATCTTTATGAACAAACTCACCGATCTTTATGAACAAACTAACCGATCAATAACAACCAACTAAACGATCTTTAAAAACAAATTAAGCGATCTTTTAGAACCAAATTTTTTAGAGACCCTGTTTAAAAAAATAATATTTTGCATTAATTTCCCCTCCTCCCCCCCCCCCCCAATTTTTGCTAAATTTTCTCCTACCCTACAGATTTTTTTTAAAATTGTAAATCAATTTAAATTACTTTTATATTAAAATGGTAAAATCCAAAGTATTCATTAGATCAAGGGTCTCAAACTCAAATCATGGGGGGAGGGGGTCACAGGAGGTAGTGTCTGAATGAGAGTGGGCCGCATCAAGTAATCCACACAAAAAACGATTACAACTGTTACAATCTGCTCAACCTTTATGAATAACAATAAAACCATTAAGGGTTCTCAAGAACTACTCACTGCTGCCAGAGACCTGGCATACAAAAATATATAGAAACATTAAAAAAAAAAAATCAGAATTAGGCTAGTCGGTGTGATTCGACTGAAACCGTCGCGGAGAGTCACGTTATAGATATGAGAATGGGGGAAACGCGCCGGCGCATTTACACTAAACTTTTCTGTCAAGTAGCGGGCCGCAAAATATCGTCTTGCGGGTCACAAATGGCTCGCTGGCCACAAGTTTGAGACCCCTATATTAGATGTTTATTTATTAATATTCACGATTATCTAATTTTTTATAAAAAGAATGTAAATATTTATACTTTCCCACATCATTTTCGATGTAAGCAGAATGTATGCGGGAACGAATTTCAAAATATCTTAATATTTCATTTTCGGTTTCGGCTTCGGTTTCGGCTTCGGTTTCGGCCAAAATTCATTTTTAACTTTCGGCCTNTACTGGGTAGGCAATGAAAGTGACGTTATTTACTGGGTAGGCAATGAAAGTGACGTTATTTACTGGGTAGGCAATGAAAGTGACGTTATTTACTGGGTAGGCAATGAAAGTGACGTTATTTACTGGGTAGGCAATGAAAGTGACGTTATTTACTGGGTAGGCAATGAAAGTGACGTTATTTACTGGGTAGGCAATGAAAGTGACGTTATTTACTGGGTAGGCAATGAAAGTGACGTTATTTACTGGGTAGGCAATGAAAGTGACGTTATTTACTGGGTAGGCAATGAAAGTGACGTTATTTACTGGGTAGGCAATGAAAGTGACGTTATTTACTGGGTAGGCAATGAAAGTGACGTTATTTACTGGGTAGGCAATGAAAGTGACGTTATTTACTGGGTAGGCAATGAAAGTGACGTTATTTACTGGGTAGGCAATGAAAGTGACGTTATTTACTGGGTAGGCAATGAAAGTGACGTTATTTACTGGGTAGGCAATGAAAGTGACGTTATTTACTGGGTAGGCAATGAAAGTGACGTTATTTACTGGGTAGGCAATGAAAGTGACGTTATTTACTGGGTAGGCAATGAAAGTGACGTTATTTACTGGGTAGGCAATGAAAGTGACGTTATTTACTGGGTAGGCAATGAAAGTGACGTTATTTACTGGGTAGGCAATGAAAGTGACGTTATTTACTGGGTAGGCAATGAAAGTGACGTTATTTACTGGGTAGGCAATGAAAGTGACGTTATTTACTGGGTAGGCAATGAAAGTGACGTTATTTACTGGGTAGGCAATGAAAGTGACGTTATTTACTGGGTAGGCAATGAAAGTGACGTTATTTACTGGGTAGGCAATGAAAGTGACGTTATTTACTGGGTAGGCAATGAAAGTGACGTTATTTACTGGGTAGGCAATGAAAGTGACGTTATTTACTGGGTAGGCAATGAAAGTGACGTTATTTACTGGGTAGGCAATGAAAGTGACGTTATTTACTGGGTAGGCAATGAAAGTGACGTTATTTACTGGGTAGGCAATGAACGTGACGTTATTTACTGGGTAGGCAATGAAAGTGACGTTAGACATTTTATAACACGAGAACATTTTTTCCCTCATAAATAAATTTAATCTTGAGTAAAATTATTGAATGCTTTTTTTTTAACTTTTACTTTTTAAGTCCTCATAATTTTTTTTTAATAGTTCAACAGATGTGTGTTTGCGTGTGTGTGTGTGAAATTTTATTTAAGCAAGACATAAAGAATGTCGACAGCTCAGCCACCTGGTCCTAAGACTAATTGCTGTATGATAATTGGGGTCGGTTCTAATTTTAAGTCGAACCTGTTGGGACCTGCGGGAGATTTACGAATGTTTGACTCGAACATTAGAGCAGCAAGCAAGGATCCGCTTGTTAGACACTTTGAACATTTGGGTTTGAGGGTTTTGTTTCTAGTGTGTTGTTGCCCTTGTGTGTGCGTGTGTAACTTATGTGCGCGTGTGTGTTTTAAAGGAAATTTGGCTGGGTTTAATTTTTTTTTTTTTTTAAAACAAGTTTTCATTTGTAATTGACGTGGAAAGCGCACGAGACCACTGATTTGTCTCTTCCGTTGTAGCCATTTGTAACAGGGCGGTAGGAAAGACCTAGTAACTTATGTGCGCGTGTGTGTTTTAAAGGAAATTTGGCTGGGTTTAATTTTTTTTTTTTTTTTAAAACAAGTTTTCATTTGTAATTGCCGTGGAAAGCGCACGAGACCACTGATTTGTCTCTTCCGTTGTAGCCATTTGTAACAGGGCGGTAGGAAAGACCTGTATGTTAGCAAGTAGGTTATATTCCACGGGGCAACAGACGGATACAGTTGCCACAGTAATGACCTGTGGGGCTTTAAAGAGCGATAGCTCTTGGCCCCATCTGAATATATATAATTTAGTCAGAGGTGGCCATCTGGCCGTTTTCTGGCCATTTGGTCTTGTTGTGGCCATTCAGTCTTGTTCTTGATACATCTTCAGCTGAAACTGTTGTTTATATCTCCAGGGCATGTATAGTGATCGGTGTCTTATTTCTTGTGTCGGCGGTATCTCTGATTGTCAAATCCGTGATTGCCATTATAATGGAGACGCATGAGGAAAAGGTAGGTCGCACCTCCTTTCTTTTCTTTGGCAAATTTCTGGCTAAAATCAGTTTCTGCGATAAATCTAAGGAAAATTGTGACTGCATTATATAAAAATTTAATAATAGGTCAAGGGAAAGTGGTCGGCAAATCGCGGTTCTTTAACGGCCTGAGTGAGGCTCGGCCATCAGCCACAAATCGGATTTGACTCCGAAAAACATGGTTCTTGACAGGCTCTTGAAAAGAAATTTGGCTCTCAAAAAAAAAAAAAATAAATAAAAAATGTAATCGTCCTGCTGCTGACTTTTGGCTTTTTTTACGAATGCGTTTGCCGATCACTGGTCTACGGCTTAGGGTATAAGTGGTGTATTTTACAGCTACCATTATGGTGCAAGTTTTGAGTATCGATAAATTATCGTGCACCAAAGATTCGCTGAAACTACATGTCGGTGTATGTGAAGATCATCTTCATGCTTTCCATTTTTATTTTTTTGTTTACAGGAAGTCTTACTATTCGACAGCTTTTCCCTGACATGTGGTGTTATATCAGTGATAATTGCTGGAGCTAAAATATATGTGGGTCTCAAATTGGGCAGCAGGGCTCTGTACACTGACAGTGAGTATTTGGAATCAGTGGTCTAAGTAAAAAGGTGCCGCAGCATTGGTGGGATTTAGGGATGTATTTCTTCTGTATTAATTGTATTTTACGAGGCCATGTCACCTTATTACTTAGATCCCTTTTTTTGTTGCACATATTGTTAATCGGGGGGGGGGGGGGGCGCCCCTCCCCCCCCCCCCAGGGTAGAGTGAAAGACAACCCCCGCCCCCCCCCCCCACCTAGACCTTGAACTTGGTAAAGTATGGGTGTGGGTCATGTCAAGTCGTGGTTATCGTGTTAAATTATTAAGTTCACTGCCAATCTAGAGTAATGCAAGCTCACACGGTCAGTTTAAAAATGTATAAGAACGATGTTGAATAGTCAATGACAATAGAGATAACAAATTATTACAATTTCGCTGATAGCTCAAACATTTATCACATTTTTCTGCAAATCAAATTATCAAAGCCATGGATTATTCAAAACATGATATATTTTTTTATTCCTATAATTAGTATTTTAGATTTAATTCTTAAAATTATAATTATTTTCGGACGGCTGAGGGTTGTGCTGTCATCACATGTGTCGTTCCTTACTAAAGGATAGGCGTTCAATCCCCAGCCTGACCCAGACACTTCAAATCTATTGTTTTTCCTCCTTACAAAAACGAGTCTTCCATGTGACCAGTTTAAGCTCGACAGATGGACGGGAAGTGGGTCAATTAGCCGCCCGAATATTTTTTTTTTACAGCCAGCCACGAACAAAAGCGAAGTTAATATAAAGAATTTAAAAATTAACTGTATGATGAGAATACCGGAAAGAACAAAGTTATACTTGTGATTTTTTTTTTCAGGTATCATAACTCTGGTGGGCGCAGCTTCCTGTTTCGCTGGTGTAGCGGGTCTAGAGTTGTACGTTGAAGACACCAATCTGTGGTATATAGACTCGGTCTTTGGCGTCATCTGTGGACTTTTCTTGTTACTGTTTGGGATCAGGTAAGGACCCTGAGAAGTTACATTCTATAGTTGTAGGAATCCAAAATAAAACTTTCATTACATTCGTATAGGATTAAGCATCCGACCTATATTTTGTTAAATATGAAGTAAATGTAACATGACTTTAAAGCAATGTCAATTGTATTTGAAGACACCCGGCGAATTGCTCCTCTGACTCTCCTCCTTCCCCCCCCCAACCCGGTGAATTGCTCCTCTGACTCTCCTCCTTCCCCCCCCCACCCGGTGAATTGCTCCTCTGACTCTCCTCCCACCCGACGAATGGCTTCTCTGGTCCTTTCCCCTCCCCAACAAGAGGCTTGGGAAGACCCGTTGATATAAATTACGTTTAAATAGAGCTTTTAAAATGCGTTCTCAAGTGACATTCATCAAATAAATGTTGATACTAGGCCCAATGCTAAATGGCTTATCAAAAGAAACCCAATACTTGATTAAGTTATAGTTGCATTAGCGTGTCACGGATAAATATAAAGGTCCTTTTTTTTGTTTTCCTTACTTGCCATATATTCTTTAAGTCGCGGGCAAAAAACACCCGAAGTAATTGGAAATGAGAGAAGTTCATCACGAGGCAATACTGGAACCAATAGAAGCCACTCGATTATAAATATCGTATTGTCTCAGAAAAACTGGGTTAAGTTAAAAGTTAGTGGGGGAAATGAAACGGAAAATATCTCTCACGCGTTAGCTCTCTTGTCCTTAAAGTTATTTTCAATTCCTGTAATATTCTTTTTCAACATTTTACTAATGAATTTTGAATTTTTACAGTAACAAAATTCTTTTGTGCTAGGGCAAATCGTTGTTTAGGAAGAATTATTAAAAATAAGTGTTATTATTTTTTTTTTTAAAGTTAATATCACGAGTCATTTTTATTCACATTGAAAAAAATTCCCTTGTATTATTGAAGTGTCTGGAGAATGGATGTCTTCGCCACACACACACAAATATATATATATATATATATATATATAAAATTACCAAATTAAGATACCTTCACATCTCTACCTAACATTAATTTTTTTTTTAAAAGAAGAACTAAAAGAATCACATCTTTCACGGAAATATTTCCTAGCCAACAATTTTTTTATTGTTGTTTGTTTTAAATTTCTCCACAGACTTTTGTACACGTCAATGACACAAGTCTGTGAGGTCGAGTGACGACGGAATCGCGCTGTCTTATCTCACTGAGTTGTAACGTGATGGAATATTCTGTGTTATTTTGGACCAAAAAAATTGCTACTCAAAGACAATGATTCTGCCGGTGTTTCTCAACAACAACAAAACTGTCCCAGCAAATCCACTTAACTTAAGACAAGCTCATTTTTTTTTCTATTACACTATGAGCGAAACAAACTGATTTCAAATGAACGCCACGTTATGAATTCAGTGTTTCTTTCAGGCATCTCTACAGCAAAGTCAAGTGCCACCTCCCCCCCCCCTTTCTTTTTTTTACCCCCCCCTCCACTTTTTTTATTGCTCCCAGTGATCTATTTGTTCAATTTTTTTTAAAAAACGGAAATATATTTTATTTTAACATTTTAAAAAAGAAAAAAAAATGTTTGTAAAAATCCTATCTATGCAAATTGGTTTGATTTCAACGTCATCTCCCATACCCAAATACGGCACAAATATAAAAAGGTAGGGGGTGGGGCTTGAGGCTTAAAATATGAAAGAATGTGTTGTCATCGACAACGAGTGTATGTGCCAAGTTTCAGCTCATTATGAAGACGACAAGTGCGTCAATTAGCCCTCCGAATATTTTTCCACAAAGAAACACATGAAAGCGAAATTAATATTAATATAAATGGTTTATGCTCAGTTCACACAGTTGAGTTTTCGTAAAATGTTCATCAAATTTCTTTTTGAACGCAAACTACAATGGTACGCCCACGTAACAAGGAAACAAGGGCTTGTCAAAGAAATATTGCAGGGCACCACAGGAGGAGGGAGAAGAAGAGGAAGACAAAGAAAAAGATGGGAGGATAGCGTCAAAGAGTGGACAGGACTAACACTGGGCGATTCTGTGCGTAGTGCAGAAGACAGAGACGAATGGAGGAGGATAGTTCACATGTCATCTGTGGCGCCCCAGCGGCCCAAGGACTAAGGGACATGATGATGATGATTTTGTATTACAAAATAGTGGGTTCATTTTAAAAAAATTGACGAAAATTTGATCGTGTGAACTGAGCATAAAAACGTCTAAATTGTCATTTTTAGATGATTTAAAAAAAAAAAAAAGAGTAGCAACCTGTGGTTTTCACCGATTACAATATTAGTGGAATCAATGAAAATCGCTTGCTCGATATAATTGATGACCCGTCTATTTAAAGCTTATCTCGTTTATGATTTTGTATTACAAAATAGTGGGTTAATTTTAAAAAAATTGACGAAAATTTGATCGTGTGAACTGAGCATAAAAACGTCTAAATTGTCATTTTTAGATGATTTAAAAAAAAAAAAAAAGAGTAGCAACCTGTGGTTTTCACCGATTACAATATTAGTGGAATCAATGAAAATCGCTTGCTCGATATAATTGATGACCCGTCTATTTAAAGCTTATCTCGTTTCAGGCTTATAGTGTTAGATTGTAAATATCGTATTGTTTCGAAAATTAGCCCCTCCTCATTTTAAACCTAAGACTCCCTTCCTGTTGTTCGCATAATTTTTATTTTAATTAATTTATTTTTTGCAACTTCACACGTTTAAAGACGTTAATATCACAGTGTTAAACTACCTTTGCATCAATATTGGTAAAAAAAAATAGTGGTGATGGAATCTATAATTTTAATACAGCTTTTGCTTAGTATCAAACATTTAAAATCCGTTTTTAAATTATATTTCATTAAAAGATTCATTTTTTTTTTTTTTTTTAAATTAAGACTTTAACGTATGCATATAAACTGTGCACATTTTTTCAATTGTTATTAAAGACAGTGCAAACGTTTCCTGAATAACAGATAGAAATTTTAAACACTTTGTCTACATACATTTTTTTTCTTTTTTTTTTTTTTTTTTTTTATTTTATTTTTTTTTTTTAATTATATTTTTTTAAAAGATTTTTTTTTTTTTTTTTTTTTTAAATTAAGACTTTAACGTATGCATATAAACTGTGCACATTTTATCAATTGTTATTAAAGACAGTGCAAACGTTTCCTGAATAACAGATAGGAATTTTAAACACTTTGTCTACATACGTTACGTTAATTTCCAAGCTGATCTCCTCGTTTTGATAGCTGAATAATAAACAATATCCGCCATTCGTTTATTCGTAGGCATTTTTTTTAATTTGATTTTTATTGATGAGAATCCCCTAGAAAGCTTAAATAAATTAGCATTTAGATTATCATACTGATTCAATTTTTTTTTTTTTTGTTTCAGAAAAAAAAATAATTAAATCCTCAATTTTAAAATAAATTCTATGGATTTAGTAAAAAAAAAAAATGTGTTAAAAGTAAATGAAAGAGACAGTTTGTAATTTGTCTGAAGAAAGCTTTAGAAATTTGAAATTTCAAATGTCCCTCAACAGAATATTGGGAAATGTATACTTTACATTTATACGATGTCCCTCAAATAAAACTACACATAAATAAATCTATGATGTCTTTTGTAAATATCTCATGCCTTAACCTACTTATGCCGTTCTTGGACGATCTATACAAATGACCAGTTTTATAAACCCCATTAAAATGTATACAACCTTTTCTACAAAATGCATCTGTGGATTTTGAAATAATGCCCCTGCTCCCCACCCAAACTTTTCCACTTCGATCAGGAGCCATTTGCTTCCACTAAACAAACTCAGTAGTTGTCCGAAAATGACATCCCTCCATATATATATATATATATATATTAAGCGACACATTGCGGACATCCACCGAACATATAAATCCCCCCACCCCACCCCCTTCCGATGAACTGGCCTGGAAGAAACACTGGTTGTGATGTTGGAGAAGCACTGTGGATTGTGATCAATTGTGTGTGATTTACTGACACTATGGCAATGTTGTTTTATGTTTATTATGTACATTATGTTGTTGAAAAAATGTGATACTATATTTTTGCTACATTTTAATGTGCTACCTGCTCAATTTAATGTATACCAGCCAGTATCGGCTAGACATGCTGTTCTTTGGTTTAAACCAAATTTAAAGTTTAAAATTTAATGTAACTTAACTTGTTATTACATAGACATGCATGCAGAGCCGTGCAGAGGCAACCAAGTAAATTACTCAGGGGCCTTGTCCGCATTTGGAGCCGAAATTTGGATTAGCTCTGGGGCCAAAATTCGGATTTGTTCGGGGCCAAAATTTGGATTAGCTCGGGGTCAAAATTTGTTGTTTTTTTTCCGAGGCCCAAAACTCCTCTGCGCTGCCCTGCAACGGTGTATGCCCAGATATTCAAACCACTGCTTGCTACTTAACTTAAATGAAAGTTTGTAACGAGGAATGTTGAACGTTGGAATACAAGACAAAAGAAACACGGGCGTTCCTCTGAACGCCATTCTCCCCCCTGGCGTATATGAAGTGGTTTGGTTGGGGGGGGGGAGGGGTGTGGATGCGAATGCTGCACTTTCTTTACTTTATATGGAGGGGCGGCATTTCTGGGTATCTGCAGAGTTTCTTTAATCAAGGAAGAGGGTGGCATTTACCCTATCTTCGCTACTGCTTCCGCGAACAAACCAAAACCAAATGAAAACTTACCGTACCGTTATATTTTCCTAAAGGCAATTTTTTATATAGGCCATTTATATATATATATAAATATGTATATATTTTATTCCATGGAAAGGAGTCGGGTGTACTAATTGATCAGGACTCCTGATATTTTATTTTTTTTTAAACGCACAGAGCTAAGCTGGGAAAGAAAAGGTTGGGGGGGGGGGGCTGGGCTCATAATAGAAATGGCTTTAGAACGAGTCTCTACGGTACCTAAAGAAATTGCTTGACAGGAAAGAGGACTATATTATCCTTGCTGCTTGGATCTAAAAAAAAATTTAGTCCATTGGCGTCCAGCCTTTTATTGGCTAATTAACTGAAGAATAACTTTTGTTCTGTAGATAATCCTTGCAGAAATCATAATCGTCTATTATACTTATAGTTACGTCAGAGCTGCCTGACTTCACGGCCATGTCATTCCATGTGTATACATTTTTATCCCAATGCTAGTGACAAAGATTAAATTAAATGTCTATATTTGAAATTTATTGTTTGAAATCGTCCATTAACTTCCAAAATAAAGAATATTCGGTGTCAGTCTTTGCCGTAAATGTACTAGCTTAAAATCTTTATGCTTAATGAATGGTGTGCTTTTCTGTTTGGACAAGGGAGAGCTTAATGACAAGTAGACAAATGAGCTTAATGACAAGTAGACAAGTTAGAGCTTAATAACAAGTAGACAACAGGGAGCTTTATGACAAGTAGATAAGAGAGAGAGATTAATGACAAGTAGATTAGAGAGAGCTTAATAACAAGTAGACAAGAGGGATCTTTACAAGTAGATAAGAGAGAGCTTAATGACAAGTAGACAAGAGAGAGCTTTATGACAAGTAGACAAGAAAGAATTAAATGACAAGCAGACAAGAAAGAATTAAATGACAAGCAGACAAGAAAGTTTTGGATGTCATGTAGACAAGAAAGTTGTAGATGACACTTTGATGACATGAAGACAAGAAAGTGTTAGATTTAGAAGACATGTGAAAGTTTTAAAATGACATGTAGACCAGAAAGTTTTAGATGGTATGTGGACAGGGCATTTTTGGGTATTATGTAGACAAGGAATTTTGTTGCTAACACTAACATGTATCTGCCAAGAGAAAAAAAAATGCCAGCTGCTTTATGCTGGAGTCACAGTTATAAACGCCAAAACTTAATTAAAATGCTGACATTGCTCCCTGCCAATTATTGTTTATTGTGTACTTTTTAACACCTGTGAATGGAAATAAATTGTAACAAATGAATACGATGGTCTGGAGTGGTCTTCACTTATTATTATATGTTGATTGGTGGTAAACAATGATTATACCTTGGTCAATCTGAATATAAACTGAAAAGGTTTGTCTCTGGACGCTGTCAAAGAGATCCATCAAGTATTGCTAACATTTTTCCAGCACTGTGATTCTTTATAACAGTGCTTCTCACACCATTCAGTGTGACTCGGCAACCGTGATCAATTTGATACATTTTATTTGCCCATCAAACAGCACTGCTCTATAAAACTGCTCTTGCAGTTTGATTTCAGGAGCAGGTTCAAATAAGTGAGATCTACTTTAGAAAGTTTCAAAACACTAGTATAAAATTTCAAGGAAACAATAGCTCTTTATTTTTTTATCCCTTTTTATTTACAATGATTTATTGTTCAAGTAACCATGACATGTAACAATTGACATGAACATGACATGTTAAAATTGACATTAACATGATATGTAAAAACTGACATGTACCAATTGACATGAACATGG